GGACACACCAACACAGCTGTTGACGTGTGGTTGATCCGGGCTGAAGGCCTCACATTGCTGACATTCAACAGATAATGAACATCGCCTCAAGGGCAGGCACACACACACACACACACACACACAGACACACACACACACACGCCCTCTCAGAGTCGTGTGCATTGTTTCCATGGTGAGTGTTTGACCCATAAACTGAAGTTAGAAAGTGATGAAAAAAGCAAAACAGCCGTTAAACCACTTCCTCTTTGCTACTGTGTGTGTGTGTGTGTGTGTGTGTGTGTGTGTGTGTGTGTGTTTGTGTGTATAGCTATGGGGCCCATTGGCAGTTATTGAACCGACCCTTCAGGGCTTCGATGGTCTTCTGAGTCCCAGACGTCCTTGAAGATGACGGTTTTACATCTTCTGCTAAAACTCTGAGGACTCTTCATCGTTTTCATCGTCCACTCACTGTGACATCACCCACAAGTGTCCCGCAGCAGGAAGTGACCATATTTGGAAAAGAAGGTGGAGTCCTAAGTTATCGGAGGATTGAGTCACTTTTTGAAGCGGCGTTAGAGGAGCTGCAGCGTATGTCACTGACTTTGTGGCTCAACAAGTGTTTTAGATGTTTCCATACAAACAAAACGTGATTTAACCGTTGTGTTCTCGCCTGATCACATTATTGATCACAAAAGGAAGAACCACGTGTACAGTTTGGAGGATTAGTTCTTGCTCAGGGAATGACCAGCCGGGGTGGAGGCAGCACTTAGGAGGTGAACTGCAGCGTGCACCGTCACCTTTAGTGTCAGTGGTTACAAACAAATGCTTTTCACCACCAGCCAACATCCAGCTCCACCTCGAGAACTCTCAGACATCAAAGTACCAAAAACTGCAGTTCCCCAAACATCCAGCGGGGGCTCCAGTAATCCTCAGCTCGACAGCATTTAAAGCCTTTCTGTTTCTCCCTTTCATAATATCATATTTAAATTTCAGTAAGACTTAAAGATTGCCAGGGGCGTGGCCTCTTTGACTGACAGGTGGATGGAGACACAGGCGGCTGTAGCTGGTAGCTGTCTGCTAGCTTCACCTCAGCTAACTGGACTCTCTGAACCAGACCTCTGTTTGGGCTGTTGGGCGTTTTTAATGATGTCATGGGACCAATAATATGGCTGCTGGGAGGTCACTGTACTAACAGAGCGTACAACAAGTCCTCGCCACCCTCTCATCTGAATATGGTCACTCCCTGCCCAGAACAACAACAACATGATGGCGGCTAAAATGCTTTCATACACAACATGCAGGTGCACTGGGACCATGTGAAGATGCTCTGAGCACAGAGTCAGTAATCCAGCCCTGATGTCAGGAAGGCCTCTCTCCACGTCCTGTGAGGACAGAGCAGGCTGCGGTTCGTTGTTAGCTGATAACTATTTTTAAAGCAGAGATAAGTTCTGGGCCTTCGTGGAATCGTACGAGCGAGCTTCAGCAGACGTTCAAACTGAGCTGCAGTTTGCACACGCTCAGTGCACGCCACCTCACCGAACCTGCAGCGTTGTCACTGCGTCAGTAAAGCCAGAATGAGCAGAAATATGTGGACGCCACACTGCCCGCCTGCTCAGAGTCATGGTGAAATTGCAGCAGTTCCTTTTAAAATGTTAAAAGGAACATTTAAGCAGGGTGCTCGACTTTGACTTTGATCTAAACTCCACTGTGATGCAGCAGAACTCACTCACACACACACACACACACACGTGTAAACCCAGCAGCAGCTGAAAGCAAAGTTTGAGAAGTTTTACCTCCATCCTGCTCGTCGTCTCTCAGCCGCCTCGCTTATGTCGAGTATGTGTGAAAGAGAGAGAGAGCCCGCCTGCAGGTTAAATATAGAAGCAGAGTCATTTCAGAGAGAGAGAGAGAGAGAGAGCTCATGTTCTGTCACATGTTCGTCACCTCGCTCTGTTTCTGATCGTCCTGCAGCTTCACGCCCATCAATTAAACCTGGTTTAATTCAGCTCATCTCATTAACCTGACGTCTCTGAGCTCGGTCTGCACAGTCGGCACATTTAAACCTGTGAAACCGCTGAGCGCTCAGAAGTGGAAGACTCACAAACACTGTTCTCAGTCATTTTGTTTACAAATGAAGAACTTAAATCTGTTTCACAACAGAGTCGCTACGAAAC